TACAGAATAAAGCAGGCCGTTGGCCCTGACACCTTTTGGCTCAAATATTTGAATGGAAGACCGGTTCCTCGGACTTGGAATTCAGAAAGTCTCCATATGTATTATCAATGAATGTAATCTTTGAAGGTTGATCAATGAAAAAAGTGCAAAGTTCCTCCCCCTCGACTTCAATTTTAGTGTATACGTTCTTATTGTGCACAATTACCAGGACCCCTCAGCTATGCAACAGCCGAAGCACACAACCTCCTCCAAAGGTTATACGCTCGGACTGGACGACACCCAAGGCACACGATTCCTAGTGAGCCATACGCCTACTTGACCTTCTCATTAAGGCAAGGAAGGGCAGAGACCTCAGCTATGGCATCGGCCAAAGACTTCAGCCCACCATGAACAAACACACTAAAAATAAACTAAGTACTTCGCCAAAACAAGAAGTGCACTGTGACCTCGGCCAGGCATGTCTCACAGCTTCGGCCGCTAGAAGGCTCACACCCCAGAATCTCTAAGGAAAGCCAAGCCAGGCCATCCAAGGCATGCTCCTCGCCCTAACACCTCGGCAGCACAACGCGGCTTTGGCTTAGCTACCTCAACAGGGATAGAGGACAGGCTAAAAAAGTTAAGGCTTTCGCCTCCCTTTCCTTCCTACTAAGGAAAGGGGTTACGAGCCCTCGGCAGCATAGTTCAGCCTCGTCCTAGCAATTTTCGATGGGAGTGGAGAAAAAAGCCAGGAGAGCTAAGCCATTTGCCTCCCTTTCCTTCTTGCTAAGGAAGGGGGCCCCAAGCCCTTGGCGGCATAGCTCGGCCTCGACTGAACTCCCTTAACTTAGTTTCCTAAGCAAATGTCTAAGTAATAAGCCACTTCTACTGACTTCTTTTCTACTTGTAGCCTCTTGGAAGGGGGCATCGACCCCTAAGAGAAAAAAAATGCAAGTACAAAAAAGGCATAAGTGATGCAAAAAGTGTATTTCATTCAAAATATCATCTTTCAGCTTTACAAAAAATTGGCCTTGAATGGGGGAGGCCTAGCCCCTTACAAAAAGTATAAACAAAAAGAAAAAAGCAAGGAGAAGAAAGTGCAACTTAGGCGGCTTCCTTGACGTTCTTGGCAGGTGCGGGAACCTCGGCCGGCGTAGGGGCCTCGGGGAAGAGCCCCAGCTTGCCGATAGGGAAATCAGGCATCAATTGCAGCACTTGGGTCTTTGTGTCCTCAATGCCCTCAAGGTATGACGCTGCCCCGTAGTTAGCGCATGGGAGTACTCGGTCGTCGTCTTCCAGATCTCCACGGCCTCTGTTGCCTACTTATTTGCAGCCTCAAGCTCCTCTTCGAGCTGAACCCTCCTCACCTCCGATGCCATCAGAGTTTCATCGGCCTTCTTCAGCAAGTTCTTTAGCTCGGTTGTGAGGGCCTTCTCGGCCGCGAGCTCATCATCGAGGACCTTCCTCAGGTCCCTCTCTTCGTGCATGGTCGAGACAATTGCCTCCCCACCGCTCTCTGCCTCGGAAACCTGAACCTCGAGTTGCTCCCTTTTCTCCTCGAAAGTCTTTAGTTGTGCCAGAAGAACCTCCATATTGTTACACAGGCTGACGGCATAGCGGGACAATTGCAACAAAAATGCCTTCGTCAGCAATATAGAACCAAAAAAGCAAAGTTTTGGTAAAGGACAAGGCAAAAAAGCAACATACCTCGGCCAGATGATCCATAGCAACGTCTCGAACATCCTATAGCCCCATGTTTGTCATAGCGAGACGATCTCCCTAAGGGATCATCTCGGTAACCAGGGCACGACCGACCCCTTTCTTGTTCATGGAGTCTTCGTCCCTCACGTTCCACTAGGGTCGGAACGTGCACCGTGCAACTAGCTGCGCATCGTCCCACAGCTTGGACGACGCATGAGGCCCCGAAGGCCAAGTCCCCGCAACAACACCCTCGACCAAGCACCCTCTTGGCGTGCTTCCGCCTTTATTACCGCCCTCGGCTGGGCGGTCCTTGGTGGCCAACCTCTTGCCCATCGGGGGCTGAGGTGGGTCAGCTAGCCTCTTTTGGCCAGTCTTTCTATGCCGATCTCCCTTGACCGGCCGCTTCCCTCGGTCTGCACCAACACCAGTAGGCACCGGCGGCCGAGGTGTCCTCTCAGCTGGCACCACATCCCTTGGTGCCTGTCTCTATGATAGATCGTCACCTGGCGTCCTCTTCAGCGACTTGGCTTTCTCCARAAGCATTTCTTTAGCGTTGAGAGGCATTTCTACAAAAAGAGCAACCATGATCAGTACTTGTGTGTAAGAAAGTAAACCAACGTGTTAAGCTAACAGCAGGAGTTCTACCAAGGCGAGCGGGGCTGAGACTAGCCAGTACTAGAGCTGCTTCCTCCTCCACCAAGGGCTTGGCCCGGATCTTCCCCAACACCCGGATACGGGTAATGACCTCGGCCTCCTCGTCCCAAAGATAGGGGATGCCCTCTTGACTACCAGGTTCAACCTCCCCCAGTCTTACATGAACGACCAACCCTTGGGGTAAGATGCGAAGAAGTACTTCTAGTTATGCACAGATGATGGGTTGTCGACTACTCTACCATGGTGGGCTTGGAAATAATATATTCCCGTCTCGTTGGGGTGTGGCCTCGACACGAGTATCCCACGGAAGATTTTCTCAGTTAGCTTGACACCTCGGAGCCGAGCCATCACTAACCAATATAGCGATTATGGTTTTGATGGCGTTGGGGGTCAGCTAGCTTAAGGTGACGTCGTACCACCTCAGTAGCTCGGGGATGAGGGGAGGAAGTGGAAACCTAAGGCCAAACTCAAGGTAATGCTGGTGGACATGGATCTCGCCCTCCTCTGGTAGCCACGGCCGATCACTGGTGTCGGGGACCCTAAGCCTAAAGTTCTTCGGTATATGGTATTTCTTAGCAAGAGCCTTCAATTTCTCTATGCTAAGAACGCTATCCAGTTTGGAACGTGCAAGACGCTCCACAACTACCCCCTAGGCCACGTACTCGGCCACTGTCCAAAGCGCCCTCGACATCTCTTGGCCTTGTCAGCCCAGCACTCTCCCAGGGAGAATCATCGCCCCATCGGTTGCACTCGGTGCCTACAGAGGCAGTCCTCTCCCTCAGTACGTGGATCCCAAGCCTTGTAGTAGGGCCCTTAGACTCACTAGGGTAGCTTTCGTTACTACTAGTCGGGGTAGTGTCACGGGACAAGTTCGCTCCCGAGGAGTCAAGGAGGTCATAGCACTTGGGACCAGAGTTTGAATAAGACATGGCTACTGGTTGAAGTGTTTTACCTAAAGGACGAAGTCTTGGAAAGTCTAAGGGTGAGCGAAGTTGAAGGCCGAGGTCTTTGAAAGTTCAAGCTCTTGAAGGCAAATGGTGAAGTCTGTGTCTCGACTAAGTGCCCTATTTAAAGGAAAATGGATGGCTTAGATCATCTCCGATCCAACGGCCATAGAGCGACCGCCTTAATGGTCCAAACTGACGCCCGACACGTGTCGCTGGGCTCGGGAAGACGAAACGATGCCAAGCGAGTCAACCGGTCCTCCACAACTCTCCCAAGAGGCAGAACCCAAGAAGCAGTTGTTATCAAAACAACTAAGGGAAACCCTCAGAGCCAAAGCCACAGGTGAGGCCTACCCACAAAAGTAGCTGCCACCAAGACAAGAGAAGCCCTCCGAAGTCAAGACTGACGTTTCCACACTCCCGAGCTAGCGTTATACTCAGTCGAGTCAAATGCAGAGCTGACGTCTCCCCACTTCTAAGTCAAGCTATCTCCGATGTCTCCAAAGCTGAAGCCAATGCCTCCGCGCTTAAAGACAAAGGTCTCCCTGGCTAAGCCGAAGCCGAAGTCGAGGTCCTCGCCGATACAAACCACTTAACGCCTCCCAGTGGATGATGCACTCTCTTTGGCTGAAGCCGGGGGTCACCCCAACAGACCACCATGACCTTGAGAGTGGGGGGCAAATGATGTAGGCACACATGGCAGGCCCAATGGCACGCGCATATGTGGCACCCTCAGATGGCAACTCGCGGCATAGGGTAGGTTGCATCCTAGCTATCCGTTCGTAACTAACTCCAGGCAGGTTCAAGTATAAATAGGTGGCATCACCATGAGGTAAGGCATCTTGGAATTTATTGCTCTCAGCTCTCTAGCTTCCTAGTGACCTCATCTGAGATACCTTACTCAGGCCTCGTCCGCCCTCCTTGTTACGCCCTTGCTAACTTGGCCGGCAGAGTCTCCGCCCCTGGGGTAACACCTGGGGCCTCTGACGTGCTTCTTCCTCTACAGTTCGGACTTATAGGCCATCGACTGTAGCAGACCTCAGACTCATCAGCAGCCCTTGGACACCATCCAGATCATGAAGAATGTTTTCTGTGCCAGTGTGCTACTAGTTAGCTTTAGTTAGTTCAATTTTGTACTTGGGAAACATAGGTCATTGTGGCACATTTTTTTATTTTGGTAAATATGAAAAAGTTCAATTTAGCACGTCCTTCCTGTACAAGTAAATCCTTTTGTTTATTATTCTTAACTTTTCATTAATAATTCCGAAGTGTTCGAAACTAACAAGGACTTTGATACTAAAATGTGTTAGGTATGTCTAATTAGATAATACTGAAAAAACAGAATGTGTTCTGGCAATCTGATGACTCACTTGGATACTGAGACCTCAGCTGAGTTGACTAATACAAGGTCTTAATAAGCCCTTATAAAGTCTGCAGTTATCTTGCACATAATTCTCAACTCAATGAAGTCTTATCCCAATATATAAAAAATTAATTCTTATCCCAACTTCTAGTAGGTAGAGGATATATAAACTTGTCTACAGTTTCATGGAGTGTCAACTTTTGTTCTACTACTGGTTCTACTACTTGTCTACCAATGGTTCAAATCCTTTACTCTCTTTGGCACTGCTTGGACTGCAGGGATTTGTTCCTCTTCCCTTTAATTGCAAGTAGTGTTTCACATGATTTATTAACACTAAATGGTTTGCATGTTCTGCCTTGCAGATTTATTGTGGGTTTAGCTGGTCCACCTGGTGCTGGAAAGACCACTCTGGCATTGGAAGTAGTTCGTCGGGTAAACATGCGATGGCCCCAAAAAGCTCCTTCAATGGATTCCCAAGTTAAGCCTCAAGATGTTGCTATAATTCTTCCCATGGATGGGTTCCATCTTTATCGTCACCAGCTGGATGCAATGGAGGTAGCTTTTTTAGTTTGTATGTGTTAGAAGGAATACAACACATTTATTTGTCTAGTTTATACATTATTTATGCTGTATTGTATGACCACTTGACCAGGGGTATTCTGGTAATTTMTCTGTAACTTAAAGTGATCATATATTTCAAATAGTGGGGGATGCCCCAATGTTTTTCCTTCTCTCTCAAACTGCTCCCTTTTCTTCTCTTTCTTCTACTTTATTTCCTCGTTTAATTGCTGAACTTACTTTATTGATTAAACAACTTGGTACCAGAGATATAACTCTACTGGATCATTAATCATCTTTTATTTTCTTTATTCATTGTCAGGATCCAGAGGAAGCTCATGCAAGGAGGGGAGGTAAAAAATTTTGTTATTTAGTCACCACAGTCTAGTTACCTTAGGAACAATAAAATGCATTGATCCTTTATAAATAATTTCAGCTCCATGGACTTTTGACCCAGCACGTTTACTAGCATGCCTCAAGGCTCTGAGGAGTCAGGTAATTTTGCTGCTAACATGCCTTATTTTTATGGTCTTTCTGAAAACTGAATAATCTTGGACGTTTTAGCTTATTTCTAAAACCTATTTTCTATGCATGATTTTTTTAGTAATTGCATCTGATGCTGGGACAGTTGTTGACCATGGATCAGTTTGGTGCACCTTATTATATATTGTACCTAATGTTCAATTGTTGACTTAGGGATCAGTTTATGTACCATCATTTGACCATGGTGTTGGAGATCCTGTAGAAGATGATATTTTTGTGAATATTCAGTAAGTAATTGTTTATATTCTCTTGGCTTATCTTGACACTTGGAAATGGTTGCTGATTTTGGTGATTCTTATATGAGAAATATATAGTTCTAGGAAATTTTCATATTCTGAACTATTTGTTTTTTCATGGAATCAGTGGTTATTGTCTACTTGTCCATTCCAATGGTATAATGAAGTCATAATGTTTTCTCCATACCAACCACAGAAAGACTGTATCTTGTGTTTTTTTCATGTGTATTGTAGTTGTGAAAATATAATTGTAGTTTTGGTTTGCTTCACCTTTTCTATTTAGATTTGTTTTGATATTGCTATTGGCTTGTCATTAGGGATTGGTGCAGGGGAAATTGTCTTTAAGCAGGTATAAAAATCCTACATGAAAACTGTTGAAGTTGAAGCGATGGTGTACTTGATCAAAACACGGACCATGAGATGTTGAAATTGAAATTATGAATACTTTAGAATGAAGAGAATAATAGACAAATTGCAAGAACCTTTGGATGTCAAGAAGCATGGAAACGAAAGAATCATTGAAATGTTGTATCAATGAATTTTTTATGATGGAGAGGTTTTTCAGATGTTCTACTTGACTTTTGGACTGTGAAGATTGATTCCAGAGCTAAAACATAGTTTTAGGCTATGGAGTTTGAAGGACACGAAGGGTTCTCACCAGCCGGTAAGTGGAGAGAAGCTTTGAGAATAGAAAGAAAAGAAATATTGCTGGAGGAGATATTCTACCAAAAGTACTTTATGATTAAGATTAGAGAAGGAAAGAGAGGAACGGTTCTGTTAGTGGGAGATGCTTTTCCTTGGTTTCAATGTTTTGTAGATGGAGCTGCCCAGGTGAGCTGGAGTGAAGTGTGGAAATGTACACTCAAACAGGTAAGGAGAGAATATGTAGTAGAGAGAAGAAAGAACAACAGAGGATGGTTTGTTACTTTGGAAGAAAAGTTCGACAAAAGGAAAAAGGCAAACAATAGTTATCCCTGAAGGTGCTCGGCAGCAGGGATGGTCAGTGGTGGCTAATGCTCTACACAGGAGATTAGTCAGTAAGGGATCAGGGGCAGTGAAGGTTCAGGCAGAGAGAGTAGTTGGCGGACAGAGTAAGAAAGAAGAGATGACAGAAAGAAGAAAGAGACTGGAGGGGTTGGGCTTAGAAGACAGTGGAAAACCAAGGAAAGCAAACAGTGGCGTTTACAATACCAGAACCAAAAATTGCTTTGGCTGGGGAGAAGGGAGCTTGGAAGAAGAAACTCATTTTATCTGCGTAGGAGGAGGTGAAGGACTGGAAGGGGCTGTTAGAGGAGGTGACGGTGAAGCTGGACTACTTTTTCATCTCTGGCAAAAATTAACCCTGGATAAACTGGTGCGGGCGATGGGTGGTGTTCTCCTGTTGTACAAAACTACAGATCTGAGAGCAGTTCATTTGAGAGTTGCTGGAATGAAGCCTGAGGAAGTTCCAAGGGTATTACAACTATGTGCAGAAAGTTACTGGTGTAAGGTCTGGGTGAATTCGGAAGTTGAAACGTTGCAGTGGATGGGGAGGTTGAAGCTTGAGGGAGATGATGACGTGGCTAGATGGGTTACAGTTGGCGGGACTGAGCAAAAGAAGTTTGGACATGTAGCAGCTGCTGGAGTGAAGTTTTCTTCAAATCTGGAAGCTGAAAAGTCGAATGACAAAAGTAAAAGGCATTTTTGGAAAATGTGAATAAACCCTAGTTGTTTCTAGGTCAAAGTAGAGAAGAAGAAAGAAGAAAGAAAAGAGAAAGAAGAAGAAGGAGAGGAGAAGAGTGTTCGGCCAGACTAGAAGAGAGGATGTTCAAAAGTCACTCTCCTAGCCGACCCACTTGACTTTTATTCATGAAATACTTGAGTTACAAGAAAGACAATTTTGTCCCTCATAGAAGATGGGACACATAACTTAAACTCAGATA